ATAGCTCTATCTTGTCCATTATTCCACCCCCCAGTTAACTAACGAGGCCGGGGGAAACAGCTCTCTCTAGTCCGTTATCCCGTCCCCAGTTAGCTAACTATTCTAGAGCACTCCCAGAGTTCCTAAGGCAACCTCTCTGGTTCAACACCTTGTAACCTAGGTATTCGACTACCTAGGTGCTAAGACTACAAGGCGCCGTCACTTGATCAGTTACCCGAAACTCTAGAGAGAACTCTAGAATACCGAATCATTGCCACAAACGTATAAGAGAAAACGAAAGGAAAGAAATGAATAGTGAAGTAATTAGTGAGGGTTTGGGGTGAGAGGTAGAGAGGTGGGAGTTGCGAGGAGGGTCATTAGTTGAAAGCGAGAGTTCAGAGAGGGGTGGAGGGAGAGGTATAGATAGGTAGAAGTAGAAGAGTAGATAGTAGAAGTAGAAAGTAGATAGTAGAAGACGAAATGCTGCCACCATCCATTCATGATCATTACATACAAGACAAGGAATGGAACTTGCCTGTATCACAAAATTCTCAAAGGATGTTATCATGAGTTCATTATTAGTATGTTCCCTCTGTACCATGTATCAACTCCAAACATGTACTCATTAATATCTTGAATCTAGTAACCACCGAGGCTTTCTCACCTCAACTCAAAGCTCTAGGGAACAAAGACGATTTAAATAATAAGTTCATATATTTCACATACTAAGTATCATAATATAAGCAATCCACTTAAAATGTTAAAGATTAGTATTCAAAGTGAGTCATCCTCCAAGAATCTGAGAACACTACAATTGACTGCCCCTGATCTTCACACAACACTTGTAAAACACGACCAAGTCACCTTACTGCTCAACTCACCAAGTGTGTGCCTATAGCTGGATAGAGAGGGGGGGGGGTCTGTAGTTGACGGAGACCCCCGCCCTGCCGGCCGACAGCCTCCCTGCTAGGGCCGTCTGCTCTGCTCTGCTGACTGCCGTTCTGTCTTGATGCCAATGCTCTATGCTCCCTCAGTATATATTGGGGACCCTAGTACTAACTCCGCCCACAAGTAGATAGCCTCCGGCACTACCAAGCCACTCCTTAAACGTCGGCATGTTTGAAGGCTACCAGACTACAATTATAAGCTTAGCGGAAGCAAGGTGAAATTCTCATGATCTGACCTCAGGTCACTTGAGGTCATTAACGCTTTGAGGTGTGAGATCTCAGGCCGACAAACTGGCGCCTCTCAGATCCTTGTCTGTGACTCATGTACTCTATGTATGTATTAAACTAAACCAAACACTTTTACAGTGTTACAACAGGGCAGGTTTCTTCTCCTGCAGTTCGTCAAGTCGTTTTGGAGTGGGTGCACTTGGATTCCTTGCCCCTCCTTTCGGATGACTACTGTCTCAGGTTCGGCTTCTGTTGGAGCCGGGTGCCTGGATGGTGTCCCTGGACCTCAAGGACGCCTATTGGCACGTTCCTATTCATCCAGGGTTCAGGGACTGGTTAGGTTTTGTGGTGGGGCATCACGCTTACCATTTTCGATGCCTACCTTTTGGCTTGAATCTGGCACCTCACGTTTTGACGCGTCTGACCCGGGTTGTGGTGACCCATCTGCGTCTTCTAGGGATTTGGGTTTTGGCCCTCTCGATGACTGGCTGGTGTGAGCTCCCAGTCGGTCAGCTTGTCTGCTCGCCAGGGATATGGTTCTTTCCCAGCTCGCCAGGTTCGGGTTCCTGGTGAACTGGAGGAAGTCCCATCTGGTTCCGTACCAGGTTCGGACCTGGCTGGGTGTTGTTTGGGATTCTCGGACCACTTCTTTGTCTCTCCCTCCAGAGGCATTGTGGCGGCTGCGGGACCGCCGTCGGCTGTTTCTGATGGGGTCCCGGGTCACTCAGCAGTTGCTCGAGCGGTTGTGTGGGAGTCTAAACTTCGCTGTGCTAGTCTACCCGCCTGGTCGGGTTTGGCTTCGGCGTCTGTTTTGGTTCCTTCGGGGACGTCCCTTCCGCCTCTCTCGCGATCGTTGGGTTCGTCCTCCGGGGGCCTTGTGTCGGTTGCTGCATCACCGGCTTCCTCTTCGGGGTTTTCGGGGTTCGGTGCCTTGGCGCCTTCCCGAGCCCTCGCTCGATGTGTTCATGGATGCGTTGTCTCTCGGCTGGGGCTTTGTGACCAGTGCTCACCAGGCAGGCCAGGGACGGTGGGGTCCATCCTTCTGTCGGGCTCACAGCACGGTTCGGGAGTTCGCGGCTGTCTGGTTCGCGCTTCGGAGGGTTCGGTTCGCTCAGGGATCGACCATTCGCCTCCATTTGGACTGTTCTCCAGTGGTTTATTGCTTGAACCGCGGGGGTTCTCTTCGGTCCTTGGCTCTTTAGGGTTCGTCCCTTTGAGTGGTTCGTCTGCTGGATTCTTGGGGTTTGGCTCTCCATGCGGTTCATGTCTGGGGAGTGTCCAACATTCTGGTGGACACTCGCTTCCATCCCCTGTCCATGGAGTGGACAGTCGACGACGACTCGTTTCGTTGGATCTGCCAGACATACGGTCTCCCAGATGTGGACCTCTTCGCGCCGGCGTGGTCTCGACGTCTCCCAATCTATGTGACGCCCTTCCCCGACTGCGAGGCATTCGCGGTGGATGCCTTTAGGCAGGACTGGTCGAGGTGGGGTTACCTGTACCTCTTCCCCCTGGTCCAGCTGTTGCTTCGGGTTCTGGTTTGGTTGGAGACATTCCCAGTGAGAGTAGTCCTTGTGGGTTTCCAGTGTTGTTGGCTCGGTGCCCGAACCCGGGATGTTTCCCGCGGCTCCGCCTCTTTCAGCAGGTCGGTCCGATCCGGTACGGGGCTGGTTCGACCTTCTCTTCTGCTCTTCGCGTCTAGTCTTTTTGACCTGGTGTATCACCAATTCTATGGTGATCAGGTGACTTTGTTCATGGTGTCCCACCTGAGAGCTTCATCTCAGCTACAGTATGAAGTTTCCTGGCATTCTTTTTGCCATTTTCTGGCTCTTCGTAGGTTGCCTTTTCTTTCGGATCAGGTTGTCTTGTCCTTTCTTTCTTTCTTGGCTTTTTGAGGACCGTCATTTGATGCCTAATACTGTCGCCTCATATCGTGCAGCGCTGGCGGAGCTGCTCAAGCTAGCTTTCGGGGTAGACGTCACATCCGCCCTGTTTCGTAAGCTTTCCCGTGCTATGTTTCACCTCCGGCCTGCTCATGCGCCTCCTGAGCCATCCTGGTCCTTGGACAGGGTGCTCTCCTATCTATCCTCTCCTCGGTTTGTGGTGGCCGCTTCGGTTCCAGAATGTTTTTCCAAGGCTTTGTTGTAGTTGCCATTGGCCTCTGGGGGCCAGATGGGGGAGCTTCATGCTCTCCTCCGGCGCAGGGGTTTCTGCTCTTTTGGTCCTGGGGGTAGGTTTGTCCGTTTGCAGCCTTCTCCATCTTTTCTGGCGAAGAACGAGATGACTGCTTTCCGGAGGGGTTCGTGGGTAATTGATGCTTGGTTGATTCGGTCGGGGGTGCATCATGTGTTGTGTCCAGTTGCAGCACTTCGCCGTTACCTGCGCGCTTCAGCCGGGGTGGCTGGGGATGCGCTTTGGGTTGATCCGGTTTCCCTCATTCCCTGTTCCAGGGCTCGGGTCTCCCAGGTTGTCCGCAGGGTTATTAAGTCTAGCCAGCCTGCGGTCTATCCTCGTGCCCATGACGTTAGGAAGTTTGCGGCTTTGGCTGCCGTGTTTGATAATATGTCTTGGGCACATATTCGGGCTCGTGGATTTTGGAAGTCGAACAGGGTCCTGGCCGCCCTTTATTTGGTGAACATCTCTGCTCCTTGGCGTTCTTGTATTGCTTTGGGTCGCAGGTTACAGCCAGTTGTCTCGACTTTGCATTGGGGAGTTTGCGGCAGCTGCCTCCTGGGTAAGTCCCTATTTTCCTTTCCTTCATTAAAAGTATTTACATTCATGTTCACCATAACGAACCACTTAGTTGGTATGCGGAGTGGCAGCCAGTGGCAGCCCGCCACTGGCTGCCACTCCCTCCCTCCCTCACCTGACCTGACTCGCCACCATTCTCCTCCCACCATACTGTTTTGCTTTTATATACAGACGTTATATATAAGTATCTGCATGTTTTGTTTACCATAGCGAACAACTAAGCTGGTATAGTGAGTCCAGACAGTAAAAGATGGTCACACAGGGGTCAGCAGACAATGCTACCTCCCTCCCCACCTAGATTACTCCTCCCACTACAGCGCTAATTATCACAACAATCCTGCTATTATCAGAATCCTGGTCACTTTTATCACAGTCAGGGGTTTTCTGTAATATCATCGCTAAATAATAGCATGAACATGTATATTATGGCATTTTTAGGCAATGCTGTGGTCACAAGCTGAACAGCAGTGCTGTGAGTTCATGCTGCGTGTGTCAGGCTTGGTAGCTCACTCAATACTGAGGCCCTCACACCCGGGAATTTGGCCCACGATTAAAAAAAAAAATAGCGTCTGTTTACAAGAGCCCTGATGAACGTGAGGTTTACCCCGTGTATCTGCGAGCCGTTTAAATCTTGCGTAGTACTCCAATACATCATTAAGAGGGGCCTCGTAGCCTGGTGGATAGCGCGCAGGACTTGTAATTCTGTGGCGCGGGTTCGATTCCCGCACGAGGCAGAAACAAATGGGCAAAGTTTCTTTCATCCTGAATGCCCCTGTTACCTAGCAGTAAATAGGTACCTGGGAGTTAGTCAGCTGTCACGGGCTGCTTCCTGGGGGTGGAGGCCTGGTCGAGGACCGGGCCGCGGGGACACTAAAAGCCCCGAAATCAACTCAAGATAACCTCAAGATGAATCATATGATGGGATGCGCAATTTATAGCAAGTCACTCAATCGATCATATGATGTGTTGCGCAACTTAAGGGTTAAATATCAAACAATATATATATTTAAATATTGTACAAATAACTTATATAAGGCCTTTGTTTCATGTAATTTTAGAAATGGATACTTAACTAATCTTTCACCTGTTTTACAGAGTTGGCGAATTGCAGAAGTGAATCTCATAGAAATGCTGTTGATAGAGTAAAACGGTTGAAAAAAGCATATAAGTTTGCAATGAAGTGCATAAACATCTATGAAAAGATGCACACTCAGCAAAAAACTGAGGTACAGTATTGATTTTAAATAGTTATTAATTAATAAATTTTCTTAGATGGCTAGTTTATTTTTTTTTTTAAGGTTTTGTATATTTTGTTTTGTACTTCCCTACATTATGTTTTCTGTGGGGAGCCCCTACGGCTCCCTGGAGCTTATCGGGCTAATGTATGTTATGTTAGACCGGGACATTAGCTAAGGAGTTCAGACCTACCAGGGACCAGCGCCAGAACCTGGCCCCTTTAGAGAGGTTTCAGGGAGCAATGGCCCCGGAAAACCTCCCTGTTGTTGGGGGTTTTCCTTACCTGCCATCAACCGGGGTTAGGCACCCAGAAAGGTAGGCATAACAAAACAAACTATACATGGTAAGAAACTAAAACAAAAAAATCCGAACAGAGAGGAAAAAACAATCCCAAGGAAACAAGCAAACAAGCAAACATCACACTTTACTGGTGCGCCGATTGTCCGCGCTGCCCTCCCCGCCCCGAGAGTAGGAGCCCTGGACCTCACCGTTCCAGCTGCCTAGCACCAGTTCATAAGCTAATGTCAAACAGGACAGATGCTTCTCTGGCCTCAGTTTCCTAGGCGATGTTTGCCTTCATGGCGTTCACTGCCGTGTGTTGTGTTGTGTTGTGCGGTGGCCAGGTGTTCCTCATCAGTACCGGGGCTGCATGCACTTAAGGGCTTCCTTCCCTAAGCGTCCTGTGAGTACTGCCCCTGCGTGACAGGGTTATCTTCCCTGGGGTGTTCAGGAACCATTCCTGTAGAGGTTCTTGCTGCTTGGCTTTTGCCTCACCCTTGGGGCCAGCTGGGGCTTGGGGCCCTTGTTTGGCCTTGGGTAGGGACTGGTATTTGCTTATTGGGTAGGGACTGGGGTGCTTACGATGTCCAGGAAGAGTTCACTGACTGGTGGAAAACTTTCCCATTCTATTACAGATTACAATTAATGATTCCCTCATATGACAAGTTTGATCACACAAGTGGACCACACATGTGGATCACACAAGTGGACCACACAAGTGGACCACACAAGTGGACCACACATGTGGATCACACAAGTGGACCACACAAGTGGACCACACAAGTGGACCACACAAGTGGACCACACAAGTGGACCACACAAGTGGACCACACAAGTGGACCACACATGTGGATCACACAAGTGGACCACACAAGTGGACCACACAAGTGGACCACACAAGTGGACCACACAAGTGGACCACACAAGTGGACCACACATGTGGATCACACATGTGGATCACAAGTGGTCCACAAGCTTACGATGTTGGGACAGAGTTCACAGAATGGTGGAAAACTTTCTCATCCAATCACAGATTACAATTAATAATTCCTTCATAAGACAAGTTGGATCACACAAGTGGATTACACAACAAGTGAACCATATGAACCAAACACCAGCCAGAATGGTCCACACAGTAAGTAAAGCATATTAACCAAACACCAGTCAGAGTGATCCACACAAGTGAACGACTGAGTTTCCAGTATTTTCGTTCACTGATTTCTGGCACACGTATCTTTGTACATTAATTTAAAGGCTGAACCGTGATTACCTAGCTACATGTGGTAAAATCTCCTTATAGACATTTTCTGTGATGAAACAAGATGAGTGAGGGTGGACAGACAAGAGAATACTGTATTGTAAACCTCACTTTACAGTGAGGTTTCACTCACTTTCGTCTGTGTCATCATAGTTCAGTGACTCATGACTTTAAAAGGTTCAAATTAATAAATCATTTCTAAAACCAGTGTTTTACTGTAATAGCTTTTTATTATTCGAATTAAACAAAACTAAATAAAACCGAAAATGTACTGTAATATGATAGACATCTGCTATTTGAGAAATTACATTATGCTATTGGAACAATAACTCTAGAGCGAGTGGACGGGTCTAATCCGTGCGCACACCACCATGCGTTTTTCGTTCAATTTCGTCGCCACAGTTCAGTGACTACAGCCTCGAAATAATAAAATTAATAAATCGGTTCTAAAAGGAGTTTTTTATATCTCATTATTCTAACAATGTTACTAAACTAAATATATAACCCAAAAATATATAATTTGATGTAAATCCAATATTTGAATGAAATTTATGTTACTGGGTCTGGCTTAAACACCAGCCTACTGCAGGGTGTATAGACCTAGTCTTCATTCATACAGTAGGCATCCAGTGCCATTAGCTTTTTCTGCAAGTGACATGTTTGGCCGCCAGTGGAAAAATAATCATAATAACCCACTAGCTTTTATCAACACCTAAGGATGATGAAAGTTATTTGTCTCAAGGACATGACAAAAGGAAGGAAACAAATGAAAATGAGTCAATATTTTTCACAAACTAGTAGCAGAAAATCAACCAGAACAGCCGTACCCAGCACGAGCACAGCCGTACCCAGCATGAGCACAGCCTTACCCAGCACCAGCATAGCCGTTACCAGCATGAGCACAGCCGTACCCAGCACAAGCACAGCCGTACACAGCATGAGCACAGCCATACCCAGCACCAGCACAGCCGTTACCAGCATGAGCACAGCCGTACCCAGCACGAGCACAGCCGTACCCAGCATGAGCACAGCCGTACCCAGCACCAGCATAGCCGTTACCAGCATGAGCACAGCCGTACCCAGCACGAGCACAACCGTACCCAGCATGAGCACAGCCGTACCTAGCACCAGCATAGCCGTTACCAGCATGAGCACAGCCGTACCCAGCACGAGCACAGCCGTACCCAGCATGAGCACAGCCGTACCCAGCACCTGCATAGCCGTTACCAGCATGAGCACAGCCGTACCCAGCACCAGCACAACCGTACCCAGCATGAGCACAGCCATACCCAGCACCAGCACAGCCGTTACCAGCATGAGCACAGCCGTACCCAGCACGAGCACAACCGTACCCAGCATGGGCACAGCCATACCCAGCACCAGCACAGCCGTTCCCAGCACCAGCACAGCCGTTCCCAGCACCAGCACAGCCGTTCCCAGCACCAGCACAGCCGTACCCAGCACACCAGCACAGCCGTTCCCAGCACCAGCACAGCCGTTCCCAGCACCAGCACAGCCGTTACCAGCACAGCCGTTCCCAGCACCAGCACAGCCGTACCCAGCACCAGCACAGCCGTACCCAGCACCAGCACAGCCGTACCCAGCACCAGCACAGCCGTACCCAGCACCAGCACAGCCGTACCCAGCACCAGCACAGCCGTACCCAGCACCAGCACAGCCGTACCCAGCACCAGCACAGCCGTACCCAGCACCTGCACAGCCGTACCCAGCACCTGCACAGCCGTACCCAGCACCTGCACAGCCGTACCCAGCACCAGCACAGCCGTACCCAGCACCAGCACAGCCGTACCCAGCACCTGCACAGCCGTACCCAGCACCTGCACAGCCGTACCCAGCACCAGTACATCCGTACCAGCACCACACATTTGTAATTACCTAAGTGTAGTTACAGGATGAGAGCTACGCTCGTGGTGTCCCGTCTTCCCAGCACTCTTTGTCATATAACGCTTTGAAACTACTGACGGTCTTGGCCTCCACCACCTTCTCACTTAACTTGTTCCAACCATCTACCACTCTATTTGCGAAGGTGAATTTTCTTATATTTCTTCGACATCTGTGTTTAGCTAGTTTAAATCTATGACATCTTGTTCTTGAAGTTCCAGGTCTCGGGAAATCTTCCCTGTCGATTTTATCAATTCCTGTTACTATTTTGTACGTAGTGATCATATCACCTCTTTTTCTTCTGTCTTTTAGTTTTGGCATATTTAATGCTTCTAACCTCTCCTCATAGCTCTTGCCCTTCGGTTCTGGGAGCCACTTAGTAGCATGTCTTTGCACTTTTTCCAGTTTGTTGATGTGCTTCTTAAGATATGGGCACCACACAACAGCTGCATATTCTAGCTTTGGCCTAACAAAAGTCAAGAACAATTTTTTTAGTATATCTCCATCCATGTATTTAAAAGCAATTCTGAAGTCAGAAAGCATAGCATAGGCTCCTCGCACAATATTCTTTATGTGGTCCTCAGGTGATAGTTTTCTATCTAGAACCACCCCTAGATCTCTTTCTTTATCAGAATTCTTTAAAGATTTTTCACAGAAAAGCTGAAACTGAACCTCGCCGAGGCAAAACATTTAAATGAGCAGGAATGAAGAAGAAATAAATTCTTTTTTCTACAAAGTGATAGGGATAGGCAAACCAGTAAAGTGGTACATAAAGGCAAACCAACAAAATCAATAGAGAGAGGGGGAGTGAAGAATAAGGAGAGGGGGAACCAGTTCCTGAAGATTGCATACACCAACATAGATGGAGTGAGATCGAAGATACTGGAGTTAAGTGATGTAATACAGCTGCAGACACCAGACATTGTTGCACTCACGGAGACAAAACTTGAAGATGTAATTTTAAATGAGGTCATATTCCCGAGGGGCTACTCAATTTGGAGACGGGACAGAAAAATTAGGAAAGGCGGTGGCGTTGCTGTGCTGGTAAAAGAACACCTAAAGGTGAAGGAAATAATGACTGCCAATCCACAAGAAGTTGACATAATAGCACTAGAGATCTGCTATGAGGATGATAAACTAATGATGATAAATGCATATAGTCCACCGCCAAGCAGCACATGGTCAAAGGAGGAGCTAGATAGTAAACGTGAAGGTCTTATAACAATAATGAGAGAGATTATAGCGAGAGCGGATAACGATAGATCACGACTGTTGATAGTCGGTGACTTCAACTTGAAATCCATAGACTGGGAAGCATATGAAGCTAATACAGAAGATTTTTGGACCTGTAAATTTGTAGACCTCATCCTGGAAACATTCTTGTATCAACATGTTAAACAAGCTACGAGGATGAGGGAAGGGGACGTTCCCTCCATGCTAGATTTGATATTTACCAGGAAGGAGGAAGAGATATTTGACATTCAGTACCTTCCTCCCTTGGGTAAAAGTGACCATGTCTTTTTGGGAATAAAGTATGCAATGCGTTATAAG